CCGCTTCTACTCCTTTTCGGTGGGCCATCGTACATTCATCCCATATGATTAAATTACACTCACGTAATACCTTAGCCTTGTCGCTATTTCTTGAAATACTACAGGTTGGACTTTCCGTACGATCTAAATCAATTGGTATTTTAAACATAGTGTGAGCAGTTTTACCTCCTGGTAGCAATGTTGCAGCTATACCTGATGAAGCCACGGCAAGAGCAATTTTACGCTGATTTCGAACATAAGCTAATATTAATTTAGTCAAAAAGGTTTTCCCAGTTCCTCCAGGTGCATCTAAAAACCATATTGTTCCCAAATTATTCTGAACACTCTCGCACACGCAATCATAGACTCAACGTTGTTCTGAAGTCATCATTGGGACACCGTTTTCTAATGTTGCCAGCAGTTCCAATGAGTTGTAACCAATCTCTGCAGAATATTCCCTATTGGTAACCTCTCCGACTGAGGTTGGTGTTGGCAAACCATATTCACAGAGTGATTTACCGCCTACTGCTGTTAAGTCTTCCTGAAGAGCTAATAAGCACAGATTTATGGCAAGATCACGGAAATTAACATTAGTTGCGCCTTCATCATTGTGATATATATTCCGAAGAAAGTCTTCTGCAAATTTTTCTTCATATTTTTCCCATAATTGCACAGCATCTGACAAATTACAAAATGTGAGTAATGTTACAAATAAATGGCGTAACTGTCGTGGATTATCACTAACACAGGATTCTGCTAAAGCGTCATCCCAATGCTGATCATTTTCAAGCAAACGACGCGCTTGGCAAGCTTCATGATAAGTTGACATATTGATTTAAAATATATGCAAGGACAGCGAGCTAAGCAATGTTCAAGAAAAGATAAGAAAAGTAAAGATAGGTACAAATATTTTGTATCCCAAACTAGGATAATCCTGTATCATTCACTTACCATCACTTGAGCCGCATGGTCGTTTGCCTCGTAAAACATAAACACTCACGCCTATCACCCAGTGGGGTAGGTAGAGATTATGGACTTCCATTTAACACGATCCTGACACACCTCTCTCGCTTCCTCCACATCCATATACCTACGCATACACGCTCATCGGTTAAAGGTACTCTTGATTTGGCCCATTTTTAATATATCGCCAATTTGGTCGACAAACTTTCGCCTAGGTCGACCCTTCCCGACTATGCCGTTCACCTCTGCAACATAAATTTGCTTTGTCACTCTTTCCTCATTAATTCTTTCTACATGACCAAACCACCGAAGCATTCCTTTCTTAATCCTGGTCACAACATCATCTTGCAAACCACACTCTCCTCTTATTAAACAATTTCTTACTCTGTCATTCAGATTCATCCCTAACATACTCCTTAATGACCGCATTTCTACAGCATTTATTCTACTCTCTTGCTTCTTCTGCAACACCCAACTTTCACTACCATACATTAAAGTAGGTACTAACACAGCATTGTGAATTGCCATACGTGCCTTTTTGGACACATTCTGACTTTTCACAATAGAGTGTAGAGCCCCACTCACTGTATTTCCTGCATTCACTCGTCGTTCTATATCGTTATCATATCTACCATCCCTGCTAAATACATATCCCAAATATACAAACTCATCTACTTGCTCTACCAACTCCCCTTCTATTCTTATTTCACATATCGTTTTACTTTCTTCTCTTTCAAAAACCATACCTTTCGTCTTACTTGCGTTTACTTTCATTCCCTTTTCTTTTAATGTCCTGTTCATTAATGTAACCATCATTTGCAACTCGGCTGCCGACGATGCAAGTATGACTTGATCATCGGCGTACAAAAGGCATTTGACAGTTAACTCACCCATTCTTAACCCGCATTCTTCTACTTTCAAATTTTCCAAACAACTTTCCATAAATAGGTTGAACAACCACGGGGAAGCCACACAGCCCTGTCTGACACTTTTTTGGTTGCCAAACCAGTCCGAGTAGGCCCCGTTGATCCTGACACAAGCACTAGAATCCCTATATAGAGACTTCAATGCCTGTATCAGACCAGCGGTCAACCCAAATGAGTTCAGTGTTTGCCATAACACATCCCTGTCTACTCTGTCATAAGCCTTCTCCAAGTCTATGAATTTGGCCAAAAACTTCTCCGCGATCATGCGCATGGAAAAGACCTGGTCCGTACATCCCATTCCCTTTCTAAATCCCGCTTGCACATCCCAAATTTTTCCATCAGTTTCTTTCATAACTCTTTCAATTAGTACCTTAGCATACAGTTTTCCCACAATGCTAAGAAGGCTGATACCACGGTAGTTTTTACAGTCCTGCTGTGATCCTTTTCCCTTATATATTGGGACTATCACCGCTTTGCACCAGTCTCCTGGTACCCGCTTAAGTTCCCAACATAAATTAAACAAGGTGTACAGCAGGTCTGCCACCACTCCTTCTCCAGCCCTTAGCATTTCGAGAGATACTCTATCATAACCGGCTGCCTTACCTTCTTTCATACTTTTCATTGCTTTCATTATTTCATCTATACTTATATCTCTATCTATTTCCTCTTCTTTCGAAATTTCTATTTCATTTAATTCAAACGTCTCATCACTCATAAACACGCTTTCAAAGTATTCCTTCCATCTTCTTAAACTCAAAACTTCGTCATTCAGAATACAGCCATTCTGGTCTCGTATAGCATTCATTCTAGGCTGTTTTGAATGTCTTTTGCCTCGTCTTATATATATATATATATATATAAAGAAATATAATTGCAGCCCATCACAGACCACTGCTGAACATATACCTCCCTCACATATTGCCATATAGGGTATATTTATAATAGTTGCCACACTTGGTGAACGGATTGGCAACATTTGTTTTTTATTATTTTAATTTGTTATCATGAATACTGCTGTCCATATCATGTACCAGTTTCCCTCTTCCGTCACTTACGACATACGGCGAAGAAGATTCTCTTACCGCTTAATAATGAGGAAAATCTGTCATACCTATTACATAAAAACAAAAATGTCAATCCCTTTACACTTCAGATTACAAAGTCCCTACTCTCACCAGCTTACATAGACAGAGACAGAAATAAATGAGAAATAAATGCGTGACTTGACGTGGGTCGAGTAATTTTTTATTAAAAATTTGTAGCTGCTGTAACGCCCTTGTCACTTAAGGCAGTTCTGTAAGATATATTTTCTAACATATATATAAATATAAAAATATTTATAATATACAATGACCAATCCTATTTGTATATTTTAAATTTAAATGTAACAATATGTAATATCAAAACATTTATTAAGGTATAATTGATCTCTACAAAAAGCAGAAAAAAAGATCAGTCATTAATTTTTTTTTAATAAATACATTAATGACTGATCTTTTTTCCATATATATTTTAAAATACATTATTTCAATGTATTTTAATACATTAATGACTTGTATTTTTAAAATATTAATGACTAGTCAAAAAATGAAGTCAAATATGTACTGATAGGTTTTCATGGCACGGTTCCTTGAACAATGTAATCCGAAGAGCTCTTGGCTCTATAAATGTTCGCTCGGCTTTAGTCTTGCGAAATATTTAGAGACGATGGCAGGAGACCCGAAGACTTAGGTCCCTTGGGAGATATGTAAAGACCTTGTGTGGGATACTACTTGCGTAGACACTTTGGCAGTCTCTTATCTCAGGGGTACCTCGTATAGAGCCGGGTCCGCATCAGAGGCAGCTGAACTAAGAGGCGCAAATATGAATCTCTAAGCGATGACTGCTTATTTATGTCACTTGCTGAGGAGACTATCAGTCCGTGGGGTTCACGTGCGGTGAAGTTAAATAAGAGGGCTGGTTTTCAGCGAGGAAACGCAGCCAGCGTTCTTGGTACGATACTACGGGGAGTATGACTGTATGATAATTTAAGGTATTTGTTTTTTAATATTGTATATTTTAATGTTATTTTTAATTAAAATGTATTTTTAATCCGATGTGATTTCATATGACATATTATACAATTAGTAAAATTAGTAAAACATTATTAGTCTTGTTCTATATACAGCAGTTGACTCGTAAAATAAAACTCCCACAAGGAATGCCACAAAGCACTAATGTTTATATATGATTAATCTTGACTGATCTTGATCAAAGGAAGAAATATCTTTAGGCATTATGTTCGCCATTATGTTCTATTATGTTTCAAGTTTATGTAATTATATAAATAGAAAGATGCTACTGCCCATCTCTTGGTTCAGTTTCCTTCTGTGGCCCCTTACGACTCCAACGGTATGATATCAGGTAGTGAATATTCTTACACCACCACTATGCGGTTTAGAGAACATACTTTAACGGTGGTAGAGCCACGCAGCAGTTTTTGTTGTTGCATGTATGGGCCGGCTCGAGCCGGGTTGGTACCACGACCTCACAGAATACCGGCGTGAAGTAGAAGCTTTGCTTCTGCGTTTCGTCTGGTGAGTGCAGGTGGCCGGAGGCCCAATTCCCCCCCCCCCCCATCAACATGGTAGCGGAATTACACGAAGAACTACCCCAGGAGGGTACCAGCACCCCTGGCGAATCCCTCGCTGAGCATCCACGACCATGTTATTTCGATCCTGAGCGTGGGTGCTCAGGCTGCCCCGCGTATTCTGGGGGGGGCAAAATTCCGCTCAAAAGCATTACTGCTAGGGGCAAACTGAGCAAGAACACCAAGGCGACCCCTGCCACGCTATCCGTGAATTTCTGCAACATCAGGGGACTTCACTCTAACCTAAACGCCGTCCACTACCATCTCGAGACGGCGAAGCCGGCCTTGCTCTTTCTGACCGAGACGCAGGTTTCCTCTCCGGCTGATATTTCGTATCTCTCCTACCCGGGGTACAAATTGGAGCATTCCTTTGTGCCTCCACGGTCAACGGTCACGGCCAATACGGTTTTCGTCGGGGTCGATCAGCTGGTGATCTTCTGGTCTACCTGACCCATAGATGGGCGGAGGCAGTAGAGTCCAAGGGGGAGGCGTTGGCCGTTAGTCTGGACATTGCGAAGGCCTTCGATCGGGTTTGGCACAAAGCGCTTCTTTCGAAGCTCCCTTCCTATGGGCTTCCCGAGAAATTGTGCAATTGGATCACCAGCTTCCTTGTAGATCGGAGCATCAAGGTCGTTGTAGACGGTGCATGCTCTGACTACAAGCCTATTAACGCTGATGTTCCACAAGGCTGTGTGCTATCACCAACGCTGTTTCTTCTGCATATCAATGATATGCTGCTAACTGGTAACATTCATTGCTATGCGGATGACAGCACTGGTGATGCTCTATACACCGGCCGTGCCAATATTTCTCGGGAAAACGTCGCTGAGTACCGGAACAAACTTGTGTCTGAAGTGGAGTCTTTGCTGAACAAAGTCTCGGATTGGGGGCGACTAAATCTAGTCCAATTTAATCCTCAGAAGACACAAGTTTGCGCGTTTACCGCTAAAAAGAACCCCTTTGTCGTATCTCCTCAGTTTCAAGGCACTCCCCTTCTTGCCTCAGCCAGTATCGGTATCCTCGGAGTCGACATATCGAGTGACGTGCAGTTTCGTGGTCACTTGGAAGGGAAGGCCAAATTGGCCTCTAAAAAGCTTGGCGTGCTCAGCAGAGCGGGACAGTATTTCATGCCGGCACACCGCCTGCTACTTTACAAGGCGCAAGTTCGGCCTCACATGGAATACTGTTCCCATCTCTGGGCAGGGGCTCCCCAGTGCCAGCTCCTTCCACTTGGCCGCATCCAACGCAGAGCGACTCGAATTGTCGACGACCGAGCCCTTTCCGATCGGCTCGATTCATTGGCACTGCGAAGAGATGTTGCATCCCTTTGCATTTTCTTTCGCATCTACCATGGGGAGTGCTCTGAGGAATTGTTCGGATTAATCCCAGCCGCCAAATTTTACGAACGCACATCGCGGCAGAACTCTCGATACCATTCACACCATCTGGATGATTGGCGGTCCACCACTGTGCGATTTAGAAGATGTTTTCTTCCTCGCACGACCTCCTTGTGGAATCGATTACCATCAGCGATTTTTCCGGACCGATACGACTTAGGGACCTTCAAGAAAAGAGCGTACTCCTTTTTAAAAGGCCGGCAACGCATCTGCGATTCCCCTGGTGTTGCAGTTGTTCATGGGCGGCGGTAGTCACTTACCATCAGGTGAGCCGCATGCTCGTTTGCCCCCTCTCCTATAAAAAAAAAACTAAAGAGAGGAGATTATATAAACCGTATATTGGTATTAGCGTGTAGATTAAATTAAATTTAAATTCATTGTTTAAAAGAAAATTAAATTAATATACACTACTACCCACTGTTGGACGGATCAATTCTCCATGCAGTCCATTTTTTCTAACTTTTAGGTTGTCTGGAAGAGATCGCATTTTAGCGATAAGACCGCCTTAATGTCCTCCTAAGTTTGTTTCTTTAATCTGTTTTTTCTGAGTACAATAAATTACATACATACGTACATACATATATGACGGACGTACTCGTGATACCAATAGATTATAACCGAATCACCATTACAATACAAATTGTGTCGTGTTGTGTACTAGTTGGTACACTTATCATTGAAAAATTTATGTCTACTAAATAATAATAATAATAATAATCTTTATTTGCAAGAATATGGTTGTACAATGGTGTTTGAGTATAATTCGTTCTACATTCTACCTTAGTGGTGTGCAAATATTAATGGTCAAGTAACCTAAACAACAACACTTATCGAATTTAACAACATATATTAATTTAACAAAATATAAAATTATTTATAATGTTGATTTGATAATTAATTTATTATGCCACAGTGTCAAAAAATGCCATCAAAATATATAAGTAAGTATTATTATGTCAAGTAAGATTATTATTATAGGTCAATGTCATATATTAATTATTATTCTTATGTCAATAATTAAATAATTTTATATATCCAATTGTCATTAATTTCTTTCTATTTTTACATCAAATTTATTAATTAATTAAATATATAAGTCAAATTTTATATAAAATAATATCAAAAACATTATTTTTTTTAAACATTAGAATCTTGTAATTATGTAATTAATCATATTCTAAAATTATCATTCATTATTACTCGTACTAGGTAAAGAGTATAATAAGAATGTTTATATCTAAATCTGTCCTAAAACAGTTGAAAAAAAATACCTCACAATCCTTTAAAGAATGCGAAATTTGAGTAGCATTTAGGTTTCCTGAAAATTTCAAAAAAAATCCTCATTAAGATAAGTGGAATGGCGTATACATGAGCAGCTATTCTTGCGGTTCATGTGATAAATAACTTTTTGGGTCATAACACTTAAAGTTTATTAGGCTGAGCTTTTGTTAAAAGAAATGATAAACAAGGGTATTGTTTATAATTAATAGAATCAGGCCTTACTTTGTGGAAATCCATTATATATAATCTTTTAGAAAAGATTTCTTCGCAAATATCCGCGTTATAAAATAAAATGATGTGTCTTACCTAGTATGAAGAGCACCTCCCGCCCTCCCTCAATTGCGTACACTATCCCCGTCACCACTAATCCCCGCACCGCTAGTCGCTACTAAGGGTATTGTTTACTTGATTCTATAGATATGGATATAATAACTACATGCCCAGTGGTCAGAGTCACTCAGTTGATTCTAGATTTGGAGCCCAATCTGATCAAACATTGCAAATTTTATGATAAAATATGACCGTTGGAAGTTGTTACACCAATTTAAGAAATTAGTCCAACTGAGATAAGTTATGGATGCCATACACGATCCAGTTTACCGTCAAGTTTGCAGCGCGCTTGGAGCGGCGTCCGGTAAACTTAACAGTGTATGGCTACCAGGTGTGCATGACAAGTCTACTTGAAACAAAAATTGAATTTAGATTCTGCCGACTTGATCAAGCTTGCAGCGTCATGGAAACTTGAACGTGTGTATGAGCGGTCAACGGTAGTCGGGGCAAATAAGCGAGAGACGCCATGGTTTTAACTAATGCGGTATCATGCAAACTTGACGGCGAACTTAAACCCAAGTTGTCTATATGGATGCACTGCAAACTTGACGTCGCTTCAAGCGCGCTGCAAACTTGACGGTAAACTGGAGTGTGTATGGCATCCATTATACATCCAACAGTAGACTATTAAAATGCTTGCGGAGTCCATTTGTGTAAACACCACCCGATTCTCTGTTTCTGCTGTCAAAACACTGTTAGGCTCGTTGCGACAACGCCATTTAGTCATCTCTCTTATTTTTATATTGCAATGCTAACAAAAAGTTCACCATTACTTTCAAATTTAGTACCGTTTAAAAGCCAGTGAACGACTTTTGACATAGTGAAAGCCGTTTTTGAATTTTATCACGCGTTCCTGTACAGTAAAGCAAAACATTTTAAATGTAAACATATATCTGTCTCACTTACACAAGTCGCGAAAACAATACCGTCGCTAAGATAAAGATGCACACACAAACATGCAGTGACGGGTTGCCTACTATATAAAATTTTACCTAAAATAAGCAATAAACAGGAGGTTTTTAAGCTGCAGTTATTTGTTTTTATTTTAAATATGTATCTTTGCATATACGATGAATAGAAGTATAACTAATGATATGAAACACTTTTCAAAGTATCTTTTTGTACAAATAAATCAAACAAAAAATTAATCAAGTAATAAAATCAATTTTGAGTTTCTTAACCAAGAAGATCTGAGTTTGAAATATGCATGAATTGTGAAAGCATCGGCAAGTCTTTGTCTCATGACATTAGCTACAAAAACTGTGGTTATGAATACATTTTTAAAATAATACTAAATGGTGTTAATCTGTAGTACTAATCCGCTTAAATAAACATGGTCGCCATTACTTTTTGGTCCTAGTTTGTCTTGATCCCGGAAGTGCTTAGAACTAATGAGAGTAGATTTCGAAGGCACGCAGTGAGTCTCCTTTCTCAGCAATTGTATTATTTCCACCCACTTCTTACGGTGTGCTGCATCTTTAAGTACCCTGCAAAAATATTAATATAAAATAAGTAATAAAATATAATTAATAGATCATTCATGAATATTCTAAAATAAGAATAATTAATTCCTTCGTATAAAGGTTGAAACATAGTTTTTATTACACGTATGGAGCAAGGCACTCGAGAACAGTGGGGAAGCACTTGCTGTTTCCCTTGATGTATCGAAGGCCTTTGACAGAGTTTGACACACTAGCCTTTTGGCTAAGCTTCCAGCGTACGGCTTATCCCCTGGTCTGATTGAATGGGTAAAGGACTTTCTGAGTGAACGGTCTCTCCGGGTCGTCGTCGATGACTGCTCATCCGATCCTATGGCGACTAACGCCGGTGTACCTTAGGGGTCCGTTCTCTCCGCAACTCTCTTCCTGTTGCATATTAATGATCTGCTTATGCCCGGTATCTATCTATGGGTATGCAGACGATAGCACAGTTGTTGAGAGATACCAACCAAATCCTCGGGCCAGTCGGGATCAAATCCAGTCCGAAAGAGAAGCTATGGTAGAGCGTGTGAATCTCACACTACAGGAAGTGTCCGATTGGGGCGATGCCAATCTTGTGAAGTTCAACGCCTCCAAAACACAAGCGTCTCTCTTCACTGAAAAAGGAGCCAGCTCATCTTGGCTCCTTCTTTCCGAACTGTATCACTGAAATATACCGACCGCCTGCAGTTGTTAGGGTTTGAAATATCTTCAAATTTGAACTTCGGGCGGTTCATTGAGTCCAAGGCCAAAGCAGCTGCAAGGAAGCTGGGAGTCCTTGCAAAGGTGCGGCGATACTTCATGCCGGGACAACTGCTAACTTTATATAAAGCGCAAGTCCGGTCGTGCATGGAGTATTGCTGCCATATATGGGCTGGTGCTGCAAAATGCCACCTAGCAGCCTTGAACTCAATGGAAAGGCGTGCTAAGAGGCTTATTGGTGACCCAAATTTGGTTAAAACCAATCTCACCAGCCTCGAACACAGACGTAAAGTAGCCAGCCTTTCGGTTTTCTACATGATGCATTTCGGAGAGTGTGCGCAGGAATTACAAAATTAAATTCCCCCCTCTCCCTTCCACCATCGGACAACCAGACGTTCAGCCAGTTTCCACCCATTTGTTGTTGACTTACCACGCATTCGAACCAAACGGTTCGCCACGTCGTTCATCATGCGTACAGCAAAGGAGTGGAATAAGTTGCCAACATCTGTCTTTCCATCCGATTACAGTGTGGGTGTCTTCAAGGCAAGAGTGAATAAGCTTTTGTTAAGACAGTGCGCTTCACCATCTTAGGCTGCATCATCACCCACCATCAGGTGGGATCGTAGATAAGCGCTGGCTTAGTAGAATATAAAAAAAATTTATAAAATATTTAAAATCAGGGCTAACAAGTTAACTTATTCCATAAATTATAATATAGTCGTAGTAGTGTAATGTGGGAGAATTGCAAAGTCAGAAAAGTGGCAACATTGAACATAAATTGCAATATTCGATATTTTATTTTATTTTGTGTTTTTTGCGTTAATATGAAAACATAAACTAAAACTTACGTGTGGAAAGTGATTCCGCTTGCTTAATTACGTTTATGTGACCTTGATTCGCATTATTTCACTACGCATTTATCCATTTTTTGTCGTGAATCGTTCGGCTTAACTCGGTCGGCGTCAAATTGAACACTGAACCGACGTTCGCTGGGCATATGGCTGTGGCTATATGTCAAGTGGCAACGCTTTGGCGCGGCAATTACTTATCTAGTGTAACATATAAATCAATGTATTTTAAAAATATTTAGTTACTGGTCGCAACCTTGACCTACCTCACATAAGCGTGCTTGCTTGTGTGTACGCAAGAAGCCGACACTTCCCGATTGTTCACGATTTTTGCCGAACTGGTTGTCTACGAATTGACAGTGCTGCGAGCTTCCAAAGTACGGCACAAATAGTCCCGCCCACATTGCTACAATACATCTACGAGCCACCGCTGCACTTACTGCGTCACTGAGTCGCTGAATTGAACTATCAACAGGTTGTTTTTTGTATTTATATACTATATAAATATATTCATATGCCGAAAATCTGTTTAGGTTGCAAGTTTGATATAAAAAGCGATAATTTTTGCAAATGTGCTTACTGCAAACAAGCATGTCATGAGCTTTGTGCTAATTTACCACCAAGGAGATATTTTAGTGAGCCCGCTCCAGTTTGGACTTGTCCATGTTGTATCAGCAAGAGACCCAAGGGCGACTATACGGAAACACCAGTAAGGCATAATCTTAAGAGCACTCAACATCACCTAATTGGGTATCGCAGCGATCACGAGGCAACAGGGTCGGTACTTCTCCAGTCGCAAGTGAACATAAAACCCCTTCTCTCTACCTCACTGTCGGTGAGATTAGGGACATTATACAGTCGGAACTTAAAAATATTTTAACGAAGGAGTTCACCGTCTTCATTGAGAAAACGATTGTGTCTGAACATAGAGAAACTGTTTCTGATATTGCATGCTTAAAAAGTGATTTGCTTTCGCTTAAAACTACTGTGTATTTTATAAGCTCACAATGTGAACAAATCAAGGTTGAATTGAACAAAAAGTCAGAATTGTGTTATCGCTTATAGAAGGAATGTACGCACTTGACCGTCGCTAATAGAGAATTATCTGATCGTGTGGTACATATAGAACAACACTCTCGTGCTTCGAACTTAGAATTACAATGTGTACCTGAACATAAATCAGAAAATCTCATTCTACTCCACATTAGACTGCACACATAAGAAGACATTAACACATATGCACATATGCACTATGCATTAGAATTGTTAAAGCTAACCCAGCCACCACCAGACCTCAATTATTGTCAAGTTACTCAGCCCTCTGATTCGTGATGGATTTTTAGCTTCCGTCATAAATTTCAACAAGAACCACCAATCGGACAAACTTAATTCTAGTCACTTGGGTATTGGAGGTGACAAGAAACCTGTATTCGTAACTGAGTATCTCTCTCCAAGTAACAAGGATCTGCATCGAGCTACCAGACTTAAGGCCAAAGGAAAGAACTACAAGTTCGTTTGGGTAAGAGGTGGCCGCATTTTTGTGAGAAAGTCGGAGTCAGCTCCTGTTGTTGTTATTAAGAATTTATCCTCGTTACAATACGTAACTGATCAGATTTCTTCTCACTTACTCAAATCTTGTTTTTTATGTATACCTGCACAAAATTTGCTGTCTTAGGTTGTTATTACCAAAACTGTATAGGGCTAAATACAAAATTAATGAATTTTACAGTAACATGTGTATGAATGAGTACGATATTATTGTAATAACGAAAATTTGGCTACAAAATAATGTTAACTTTTTAGAGTATTTTAACGATAATTATGCTGTATACGAGTATAGACGAGACAAAGACTTGACTAAATTATTTTCAAATAAGGCTGGAGGTGGTGTAAGGATTGCCGTCAATAGAAATTTTGACTCACATAGGATTCATAAAAATTTTGTACAGCCGACTTCAATATAAGTTATTTAAGAATAACTTAAAAACTATTGGTCTGAGCTTGATCAAATTCATATGGGACCACACGAGAAGTACCAGCTTTCAAATAAAAAAAGAATCATCGAAATCGGTTCACCCAGAAAAAAGTTCTGAGGTAACACACATAAAAAAAAACGAAAAAAAAAACATACAGTCGAATTGAGTACCGGCTCCTTTTTGGAAGTCGGCAGAAAATGAAGGCACTGGACTTATCGAAGACCTTTGGATTGTAGTTCATCCCAGAAATGGTAAAAACCTTATAAATTTTGCATATGTGCAGTCTATATACCACCTTTCGTTAATTTAAGGATCTATGAACAGTTTGTAGAAAATATTAATGCCATCAAAAACATAACTTGTAAAAAAAACCAGAATAAGATAAAAATAAGAAAAAGTCAATTTACAAAACCAAATGTTGACAGTATAATTCAAATTTCATTCAATTTGAACTAGTAGTTTAAGAATTATAACTAGTCAAAGTGTCTTAATTTTGTCACTCACTGACTGACCGATCATCAAAACTCCAATGCACTTTTAGCAGACGTAGAAGCTTCTGATTTAGAATACAATTAGTTTTTAGTGTATATATCAAGGAAAAACTAAAATATTTTGTAATTTTGGTCCAGTTTTCTAGATACACCAACTGCATAAATAACTTTGTAATCCTATATAAATATATAGGATTACAAAGTTACATTTGCAGTGAATAAATCAGAGTACCTGTATATGTATAATATAATGGAATAATAGATGTAAAAATGTACCTAGATATAATTATGTACAAAGGTAACTTGTAAAATGGTCAACGGAATGAAAAAGCAAGAATGGGACAAGTAGACTAAATTGCCCGAAAATCCGTAGTTGGTATTCAAGAAGTAGATGGTACTAGAAAGGAAAAAAGTAGGACTATCTACAAAAAGAAATAAGATGTCATCAAAAACAAACCTTGTCAAAAAGACCAAGTCTCGCAACTCAGTTCTTCTACCGTAACAAGTTGTGAGATCCATGTAATACCAAGTCGGTTAATTTATTCAGTCCCTACTTAAGGGTCCTTCTGTCTTAAGTTATTACATAATTAGCTATCCTAACAACATATTATAGTGACCATATCAATATTGAAAATCTTTTATGTTTTAAATAAATAGATTGACTTGGCCATCGCATGAAAACGCAATGTATCTCTCAAGTAATACGCATTATATTAAATTAGATTGTTTAGTGTGATTGTCAAGTCATTTATATATTTTAAACAAAAGATCTCACAACTTTTTACGGTAGAAAACTGGATTGCCAGACTTAGTTTTTTTTACAAGTTATGTTTTGATGGCATCTCATTTCTTTATGTAGATAGTAATATCTAGGTACCTATCTACTCCTATTATTCCATTATATTATACATAGGTACACTGATTCATTCACTGCAAATGTAACTTTGTAATCCTATATATTTATATAGGATTAAAAAGTTATTTATGCAGTTGGTATATCTCGAAAACTGGACTGAAATTGCAAAATATTTTAATTTTTCCTTGATTTATATACTAAACAATAGTTGTATTCCAAATTCGAAGCTTCTATGTCTGCTAAAATTGCCTTAGAATTTTGATGATCGGTCAATCAGTGAGTGACAAAAATAAAAAACTTTGACTAGTTATAATTCTTAAACTACTGATTCAACTTTAATAAAATTTGAAACATATCGAGTTTACACTATGTCTACTTGGTTACTGAAAATTCAGGCTTCTAGCTTAATCCGCAACGAAGTTATATGGTTCCGAAAATGGCCTGAACTGCTTCGAGATGGGATGGGAGAAGGATGGTACGGCCGTGCCGCTTTTTTGATTGACTTGGCGGGGGCACGGCAGATAATAATCTTTCCCATTTTGATCAATCATTAGCGATTTGTGATTTTAAACTTCCTAATTTGAAACGGCTGAAAAATGATAATGACCCTTTATATTTGAAATGATTTTCAATGCCAATATTTTTATATAATCTCTGAGTTTATGGTCCTAAATAATCTTAAGCAGTTCAATTACATTAAAAACAAAAACTCGAAAATGCTCGATTTAATATTCTCATCAGAAAGTAACATATGTGTTGGTGGTAACCACTGTTGATCTTTTTTCAGTCACCTTTCG